CCCCTTTCCCAAAGTTGGGTCATACCCCCCCCCCCCTTCTTGTATACCCCCTAAAAGCCTGGCAGTGACCTTCAAAAAAACCCTGCCCTGTAGCTGCCCTAGGGGTTAGATCTCTTGCATGCTCTTTTTATGGTGATTTCAGCTAAGCACTATTTCACCTCTTTGCTTGTAAGAATGTCTCATGGGACACTATTAAAGGTCTTAATTATAGCAAACTATAGCATGCTATTGCTTCTTTGTTGCTCAGCCTTGAAGTACAAAAGAGATTGATCTGCCAAGAACAAATCAGTCATATCAGTGTCAGCTGTTCTTGACAGCATGGTAGCCTTCTGCTGATTTTTCAATTATTGTCTTTAAAAATTACTCAGTGTGGTTCTAGTATCTTTTCTAGGTGCTCACATGGAAGGCCTGGTTTCTAATTACCTTGAGCTTCCTTTCCTAGCTACAGAGAGGCAGTATTTGCTTCTTGTCAGCCCTCTGACACCTTTACCCATACTCTCAAATGTAATTACGGAGGGTGTGGATCCATAAATAACTTGATTGGCTGTAAATATTAAATAGTTTTCACTTCAGTCATTCCATACTCTGACCTGTTCTCTTTTCCCAATGCATAACACTATGGCAGTGAGTATCTGTCAGCTTTTCTCTGTACAGAAAGAAATATTTGTCGTGTTCTCTGTCAAGTGCTGTCCTTTAAATAGCAGACCTGACTGGTTTTTATTATTCTTACGCTTAATGTGTTTATACAGCCTTTTCTTTCTTTTTATGTCCCACAGTGGGCTATCAAGGAAACCTTCTAACCAGAAAATTAGTTGCTGTTAGATAATCCTTGTTAGGTACCTCTGTCTGTAGAGGGAAAAGGTGATCTGGAGAATTCCCATTCACTTGTTAAAAGGTGGGTTTCTCTAGTGGAAATGAAGTTCTGGAGTGTATAGGAACAAGAAGTGTTCAGCATTTCTAAAAATTAGTTTTGATAGAGATTTAGAGTCTACAGTTTTTCTAGCAAGGAGGAGTTGGATTCATTTTAAGGAACTATGTCTGTGTTCATGTAGCACGAGAGGAGAGGGGACAACTGCACCTAGCTCAGCGCAGCACAAGAAACGGGACTCTCATGTTCTCAAATCAAGAGGCAAAGGAAGAAAACAAAAAAAAAGTCACAAATGTGAAAAAACAATGAGAGGAGAATAAACCAGTAACAGGGAAACCAGCTAAGAGGCAGGCTGGATGGCATTTCTAGCTTGACTAGCTGCCGTGCAACCTAAGCAACTGTATCAGGTATTTTTCCTGAAATACCAGTGTAATTAAGGATCCAGTAGGAGCTTTAGCTCACAGGGATCCCAGTCTTCCCAAACAACAGAGTTGAAGTTTTAAGTGCCTTTGACTTTTCATCATGAGATCTCAACCTCTCAGTTGTGTGCTTTTGAAAATGCTTTTCAGGCTTTCTTTTTTTCTGAAAAATGTGTCTTTATATTCATCTTCCATTATATTAAAAGGAGATAGAAGTATAATTGGTGAATGGCAGAATTCCGGGGGAAAAACCGACCAGAGCCCCACATCTGTGATGCATAAGGGAATGCTGCCAACAAAAAGAGCCAGTCTTTTTTTAGGCTGGAGGTTTTACAGTCATACTGCTTTTGGTGAGGTTTTTTTGTGTGGTTTTTTTTTTTATCTGCTGCAGACAAGAGGTCTCAGACAGCCCCTGTGAAGGAAGACTATTGTAAACTGTGAAACGCTCTCTTCCTTCCTCTGGAGATTCCACTGGCAAAGCCATTCTAATAGTTTCCTCCACTCGATCTCAAAGCTTCTGCTGCGAGAAGAATGAGCACTTACCAGTAGGAAGCTCATAAAATGACTTGTAAAAGTGAATCTCCAGGAAGATGTGTAGGATTTTCTGCCTCCTGGCTCCAGACAGGATATAAACTGTTCTGCAGTTGTCTATAGTTGTTCTGTGTATACAGTTATAAGACCTGATCGATGTTTTAAGAAAAAAAAGAAAAGAAAGACCTCCCTATTGAAGCTCATTTTCATTAGTTTGTATTAGGGTAACACAGAACCACTGAGAAATTAGGCCCTGCTGCCTGATCTACTTTACAGCTGCACTGAAAGTAGCAGCCTCTGTTAGGAGGATCTGAAGAACCACAGACAGAGGAAGGTTGCAGACCTTTTCATATTCATGTTTTCATTCCCAATTTAGGGATGAGCAGCTGAGGCTAAAGAAATAGCGGTCCTGATGTGATGCTCCCTGGAAGTCTCTGGGAGTCTGGTTCTGAGCAAGGCTGGCCCAGGCCTGGGCTTGCAGGATGAGTTTGTGGCACAGCCAGGAGTTAACCTCAACTTTCCAGAACTTCCTGATGGTTGTGTTTCTGGCTTTGCTAGTTCACACCTCCTAGAAAGTGCTCCTCTCTAAACTTTCAGTACGTTGTCTTTCATTCTCACCATTCAGTAACGACTTGATGTGCTTGCTAGGACTTTGGTGCAATTTCTAGGAAGCTTTCATAGTTTGGTAGTAACTGAGGCTGTTTTAGAATATGCTCTTTTTTTTCTTTTTTTGATGGATTCCTTTGGGTAGGGATTTATTAAGGTGGTTTTTTGTGGAAAAAATTGGGAATTGATACCAGCCAAGGTCTTAGCTTGGGGTCACTGATTTAATTCTGTAAGAACAGGCTGAGGCTCCAAAATAAGATCTCCATCATGCACTGTGTAGACTATAACTATGCTTTACAGCTGCAAAGTGGGTGCTACCCTGTGTCCTCTTACTGCTGACAGCCCTTGTTGAGCCCATTGCATGTCAACCCTTGTTACATCTCACCCACAGTGGTGAATCTTTGCCTGCAATACTAATTTGGCAATTGGACTGTCTGGTGGAGTCTCCACAGTGAGTGCCTGAGGGGACATGGAACAAGGGATGGGGTGACATGGGCTGATCGGGGCGTAAGAGAATCATACCACTTTCTATTGACCAGGGTTGGGAGTGCTGGGGAATGTGGACCCTGCGAGGAGCTTCTAGTGTTGTGTCAGGGTTGAGAAGCGAGCGAATGTGTCTGTTACTCGTGATGCCTGTTCTGTGCTTATAGCCCCCAGCAGTGCTTGTGAGACCTCCTGTAACAGGCAAGAAGTGCAAATATCCAAGCCCACTTCTGTATGCAGCGTGGCAAGTCACTCCCTTGTGGCCTGTGTATGAAGGTGCGTATGAGGATCAAGGAGTGGAGTAGTGCAGCAAGACGACTACTGTGCGAGAAGTTGTTGATCCTCATGCTTACTGCCTTCTCGTGTGCCCGAGCGCACTCCGAATACTCCCTGACCCTCTGCCAACCCTCCGTAGCAAAGTGTCCGTGATTACTCAGGCGTGTATCTCCATGCCATGGGTACCGTGTGGCTGCTCTATGCCGTAGTATAATTAATCAGTGTAAACACAATTAATGTGCATGAATTCGTATGAGACTAGTGTATTGTCTTGTCCGCCTGAAATATTATATGCACCTGCTCAGGAATTGTAACTCTATTGAGGTAAGGATATTGGAGCATACTGTCCAAGGGACTCTTCAAAGCTAAGTCCGCGTTCCAAGCTTGACTGCTACGAGTGACTAATGAATATGTATTGTGCTCTAGAGGAGTAGTAGCAATCCTGGGGCTGGCAAACCTTACCGCGAATGAGAACTCTGCACAAGAGCTGATCCGCAAGATCCACAAGAAAGGGCTTGTCCAATGCTGTGGTTTCCATCTTTTACTCATTTAACCAGCTTCAAGTGTCAGTGCCTTTCTTATTGAGATCCCCAAAGAACTGGCACCTCCTTGGCGCAGAACATTATGCTGGGTGAAAAGTTGGAATCTGCCTATTCATGCAGCTAACTCAAACAAACCCTCTTGCTCCTTCCTGATATCCAGGAATTGTGTGCTTCTGTCAGTAAAGCTGTGTAATGCAGCACTTGGCAGTTTGTCAGCACAGCCTGTCTTTGTGGGAGGGTTTATTTGGCAAGGGGAAGCATCGGGCTTAATGTGTGGGAGGGCCAGATCCTGGGATTTTCCAAGAAATTTTGTTCCACACGGAATTTCCCGTCTCGTGGAGGACAGGCCAGTTGAAGAGAATAAAAGGCCGTAGTAAAGGCAGGGGATCACACAGTCCAGACACTTGGAGCTGAACTTAATCTTCAAGTCCGTATTCGGCAACTTAGCAACGGAAAGCAGTCACTGAGGAATATCGCAGAGGACTTTTGCCATCTGACCACCACAACTACAACCTGTGAGTATAGATGGAGTGTGTTCTTCTGTTTCATTGCTCAGCTAAAGGAAAACTGGACAGATGGAATTCTGTGCTGCTCTTTAAAAGCTGTTTACATTTAAAAGCTGTCTTGATATTAAGAACTGTTTTAAAATGAACAATTTCCTAACAATGGAAATCTTATTTAAGTCCTGAGAATAATTATGAAGAAGCATGTAGAAAAGATTGCATAGCCAGAATTTTATATTGGGTTGTAAAAAGTCAGTATTTATTCTTTACAAATGTGTTCCTTTGATCTTTCATAGCCATCTGCTTAAAAGATAAAGAGAAGAGAAAACCTTCAGAAACATGACTTGCTTGTGGTTCCTATCTCTTCTTGCTTATGGTAAGTGTGTATGTCTGTAGTAAACCAGTTGGATGATAATATTAGTGTGACTGTTCTGTTTGAGCTCAGAATTAAACAGAATTTTTGAACCTGGCCTAATTAGCTTGAGGCTAGGTTCACACAGAAAAACCTCTAGCTGCATTGGCACGCCTGCCTGTTAAATACACAAAAATACACGATTGGCTCCTGTAGTTTGCTATGAAGTCTGCAGAGCTTTGTATGATCAGACATAGTTTTGGAGGTGAAAGTCCCCATACTTGATGGTGCCATGCCTGTTTTGAAGCTTGCCAGTTAATTGTTTATAAAGTAATTGCCTCTACTTCTTATATAAATTCAGATATGGGAAAGTTTTTTCAATATTTAGAGAGCTCTATATATCCTTTTCTAGAAAGAAAGGAGGGAAAAAGTCAGACACCAACTTTTGGACATCTTTTTGTTCTAGGACTTGCAGTACTGCAGGGGGTGAGTTGTTGGACGTACCATTATTCAGACACAAACATGACCTACAAGGAAGCAGAGCTGTGGTGCAAAAAGAGATATACTAACATGGTTGCCATTCAAAATAAGGAGGAAATCAACTACCTCAATAAATTCTTACCCTTCAATCCGGGTTACTACTGGATTGGGATCAGAAAAATTAATGAGGTATGGACCTGGATTGGAACTAACAAAGAACTGACAGAAGAGGCAAAGAACTGGGCTTCAGGTGAACCAAATGGCAGAGGGAATAATGAAGACTGCGTGGAAATCTACATCAAAAGAGGGAAGGATGATGGCAAATGGAATGATGAGCAGTGTGAGAAAAAGAAGGTCGCCCTGTGCTACACAGGTATGGTATGATAAAGGCCATTTGAGTGTGCCCCTGTGGAGATGAGGTGCTGGGTGGGTTGAGTTGGTTAGCCTGGTCTTACATATTACCACTTGACTTTGTAAGCACTTGTACCCTTACCCTTACTTACAGGGCTGAGGTTATCCTTACTTACAGGGCTGGATTGATCTCACTTACCTTTTAGCACCCAGAATATTACACAACTTGTATGAGCAAATCACTGGGCCTTCTCTATAATCAGTGGAGAGAAACAGGCTCTTCCAGATGGTGACTTTCATTCCACTCTCAAGTGGGTGTCTCAGCTAGATAAGAATGGCCCTTTTGGAGGCACCTGTCTCCTGACTATAGAACACTGGATTAGATTAGGCACTTTGTGTAGAGGTGGCTAAGGCTAGTTTAAAAAAAAAAAAAAAACCAAAACCCAAACAAGTGAAGTATCAACCAAATTAGAGCTGTGGTGAGTTAATGAAGAATGTCCCTGTTGAGGATTTCTACCTACCCCATAGTATATTATTCCTTTTGCATTTTAGTAAGTGTCAGAAAGATAACAAAGTGCTAGCCAGTTTTCATTAGTTGCCATTGCTCTTTCTTTTATAATTTGCTATATTTTTTTTCCTTTTTATTTTCCCCCCAGCTTCTTGCAACCCATCTCTCTGCAGTGGCCGTGGAGAATGCATAGAGACTATTAACAATCACACCTGCCGTTGTAACCCTGGATTCTATGGGCCTGAATGTGAATTTGGTAAGCTTACTTCATCCTGCTTTTCAACCAGGGCGATGCTCATGCTAGCTACTGTTCAGTTTGTCTGGCTTGTTGACGTACTTTCTCAGCCAATGAGGCTGACTGTGTACCTTTTTGTGTTTCTTTGAAGTTGAGAGTTGTGATCCACTACAACAACCTGACCACGGGAGCCTCGAGTGCAACCATCCGTTGGAGAACTTCAGCTACAACTCCTCCTGCACAGTTCAGTGTGAGGAAGGCTATGAACTGACTGCACTGGAGCCTGTATACTGCACCTCTTCTGGGGTCTGGTCTGCCCCCCTTGCGGCATGCAAAGGTGAGCTTCTCAGGCAGTGAGACATGACCTTTCTACACTCTGTGTAGCTCTGTAAACTTCAGTGGTGCTCTGTTAGTAGGTACAAACTGAAGTTCTGGCCCACTCCTTTGTAATTGATTAGGTGGTGAAGGTGCTATGTTATTGCACCACACAGGTGTCTCTGTTCCTGAAGAGATGAAATGAGCAGGATGAATGATCCAGCCCTCATCTAGATTTCCTTGCGGGGACTTTTCCACCTCTTAGTGGGGAACAGGGAATGGAAACAATCTAGCTGAGAGACTGATCACAAGCCAGTTACTGCTGACTGTAGGAATTATTTTTTGAGGTGTTCAGCTTAGAATAAACCATTGTTTGAAGCAAATAAAAGCATCAGACATCACCAAGCAGCAGTCAAAATAGGAAAATTTTGGATGGTAACTAGTTGCTGTCATGAGCTGCACATGACTTTACAGCCTTGCCCTAAGAGTCAGTCTTCCATTTTAAGATCTTTCTACTCCTGTCTCCTTTTCAGCTGTGACCTGTCCTGCCTTAGAAATGCCTGCTCATGGTGCTGTGACCTGCTCCCAGCCCTCTGCAGAGCTCACCTGGGGTTCCACCTGCGAGTTCACCTGTGAGGAAGGGTTTGCCCTGACAGGACCAGCCACACTGCAGTGTGGGCCTTCTGGGGCCTGGGACGGGCAGCAGCCATCCTGTGCAGGTACCTTTCCCGATCCCTGCTCCCCTGAGCATCTGGGGCTGTCAGCACAGGCATGTCGCGTTCCTGAGGCGTCTGTGCTGATTGGTGTTGTGTTCCGTGTGTTGCAGCGGTGAGGTGTGAGGCTGTAAGCTGGCCAGAAGAAGGCTCTGTGACCTGTGACCACGCTCCTGCAGATCTCACCTATCGCTCGCGTTGTGATTTCCGCTGCAGCGGGGGCTACGTTCTGGACGGCCCGTCCAGCATTGAGTGCACGGCACAGGGACAGTGGTCAGAGCCAGCGCCAAAATGCAAAGGTAAGACTTACTGGGAGGGAAATCACCAATTAAAGCTTAGAGTAGCTCAAATAGTCTGAAGAGACTTCCTCATTCAAGTGTAGTCAAGGAGTAACAGTCACCCCTGGTGTGTTTATAGCACTTCTCATAAGCAGATCTCAAGACGGGGGATCATTCAGCCTGTTGTATTAAGGAGGAAATAGCAGTGCAGGAGTGACAAGCACCACTCAGGAACTGTGTCCCCAACACAGAAGATAACAGGCTTTTCAAGTGGAGTGTTCTGACAGGAACTCTTTATTCCCTACGCTCCAGATGGGAACCAATGTCTGTTTATGCTTGTGGAGCTAGTCTCAGGATAGCTTGCATGCTTTGGGTGGATGTTTAAGGGTTCTGGCCATGCTGTGCAACATCCCAAAACCCCTGTTTCCTGGAGCGCTGCTAGGTCTGAAGGGAAGTACTATGGCTGTGTAGGGGACAGCTCCAGGCAGGGCATGTCCTCTTGTCAGCTCCGAGAGGAGTGTTTATCCTGACGTGTTCCAGACTGAGCTCTGTGCTATCTTTTCTGCTTTTCAGCTGTGACCTGTCCTGCCTTAGAAATGCCTGCTCATGGTGCTGTGACCTGCTCCCAGCCCTCTGCAGAGCTCACCTGGGGTTCCACCTGCGAGTTCACCTGTGAGGAAGGGTTTGCCCTGACAGGACCAGCCACACTGCAGCGTGGGCCTTCTGGAGCCTGTGTGCAGGTACCTTTCCCGATCCCTGCTCCCCTGAGCATCTGGGGCTGTCAGCACGGGCATGTCGCGTTCCTGAGGCATCTGTGCTGATTGCTGTTGTGTTCCATGTGTTGCAGCGGTGAGGTGTGAGGCTGTAAGCTGGCCAGAAGAAGGCTCTGTGACCTGTGACCACGGTCCTGCAGATCTCACCTATCGCTCGCGTTGTGATTTCCGCGCCGCGGCAGGCTACGTTCTGGATGGCCCGTCCAGCATTGAGGGCACGGCACAGGGACAGTGGTCAGAGCCAGCACCAAAATGCAAAGGTAAGATTGAGAAACACAGTTGTGAAATACTGTTTTCTCGTCACCAGACAGCATGCTGAAATCCCTATTTCTATAGGGTCCTGGCTCCAAACTACGGTCTGGTGTGTCTCCTGTTTTTAGCTGTTTTGCTCTGGTTTAGAAATGCCTGCTCAGGGCTCTGTGAACTGCTCCCATCCAAAGTCAGATGAATTTGGAAATACAGTGTACATCTGCTAGCATAAAAAATATAGCCAAAACAGGGAAGTCCTTTGTGACTCTTAACCCTTTCTCTCTGTCTTGCAGTTGTCCAGTGTGAACCGCTGAGCTCCCCTGAGCAAGGCTCTATGGATTGCTCACACGGTGCTGGGAACTTCACATACAACACAGCCTGCCACTTCAGCTGTCCGGAAGGATGGAGACTCAATGGCTCTCATGTTCTTGAGTGTGGTCATTCAGGGAACTGGAGTGCCACTCAGCCCACATGTGAAGGTACTTTACTTCTAGCCACAGAGAGGTGGCACTGGGTTTTTAGGTGAATGAGGTATGGAAGGGTGGAGGAGGTAACACCAACCAGTGAGCTAGAACTTCTAGTGAATTCTCTGAATTAAAAAGCCCAACAAAATATCTCAGTATGGTTGGTTTTGTTTGTTTGGTTTGTTTGTTTGTTTTTGGTTTGGTTTGGGGTTTTGTTTTGTTTTTTTTTTTAAAAAGGGGAAAATTCCTGAAAGTTCTTGGTGAAAAATGATGACTTTTTTTTTTTAATTTAGAACCAAAAGCTGCAACTTGATTTGGGGTTGTTTTGTTTGGGTTTTAATTAAAATATGCCTCATGTTGAGCTTTTTCCATATGAATGAATTTAAAAAAATACCTCACAGCTTTTCTGTAAAAGGCTGTAATTTAGTAGGACAGAAGTCTCAGCCTTGCTGTCCCATTCAAGGCAGTAGGAGCTCTGTCACCGTCCTGCATCGGAACATACTTGGCCTCTCTGAAATGCTTTTGCCTGAGGTCCTGAAAGCTCAACTCCACTTCATTTGCTTGAGCAGAATTTAGATCCTTGAATAATTTCATTGATCTCAACGGGATTGCTCAAGGACGGGAGTGTGGGCATTAAGATGTGAACTGAAACATGGAGAGGCTGGAGCTTAGACAGACCCTGGTGTAGCTAGCCTGTTGCCTTGCCGTTGCTTTGGCAATGGCTGGGATAATTTTTAGCGTGCAGCTTTTTACCTTGCATACGGGATAGGTCCTGCCTCAGCAAGAGGAAACCTGAGCGTTACAAGCTGCGATCCTGGTTCCTCTTGAAGAGCACAGGGAAAGGAAGAAGTAGCGAGGGCTTTCGAGACCTCACATGCCTCTTGATCTCACTGAAGCTTTGTCACTCTTTCAGCTCCTGAACAAGCCAGCTACGTCTCTGTGGGCATAGCAGCCACAAGCGCCTCTTTGTTGTCCACGGCATCATTCCTTCTTTGGCTTGCAAGACGTTTCCGCAGAAAAGGTGAGCAATTGGACTGGGTCCGTTGGTTTTATTTACCTTCCTGAAAATTTGTCAGTGGAGAAAAAATACTAAACCTCCAAACCTCAATACCTTGCTTCTTGAAAAAGTGAAAATTCCCATGCTTTATTTCCAAAACTACGTTCAGGAAACCTGCATCCATGCCATGTTTGGCTTTGGGATGAACGCTGAAAGATCAAAACCAGTACAAACCCAAATGTTTAGAAAACAAGAATTAGAAGAGAAAAAGCAACATTTTATTTATTAGTAATTACTGCCAGGGAAAATGAATGAGAATTTGAGATGGGGCCAATGACAACACAATAACTACCTGTGAGATTTGTTGCTAGATACTGGCTTTTTATCAGACATTCAGAAATGAGAGGCTTTTTTAGTAGAAGTTTGCACGAGTGGGCTTTCATCGTGAAATGCTAATCCCTTTTCTTATTCTTCTTGCAGCAAAGAAATTTACTCCTTCCAGGTAAGTTGTGTCTCAAAGCAGCACGAAAACCCCTGCAACCGCTTTGTAAAATCCGTTTGATGTAAACCAGTTGTCATTAAAATACTTTCCCTTTCTGGTTTTTACAGCAGCTGCCAGAGCCTCACCGTCGAAGGTAGTTTCCAAAGTGCTGGTCAGAGTGTCTAACTCCGGGTGTTGCAGGTAAGCACGTGAGGTAGCTGCACTCACAAAGTCTCTTCTAATCACACAGGCAATCAGGGCTGTTAATTGCTATACAGTTGCTGAAATCGCAGTATGTGCTTGGGGTACCTAATATGTGTCTGGGCATGGCATGGAAGTTCCTAACAAGACTGATGCTTTAGAAATGGTTCTTCAGCTCCTTAAGGATGATTGTCCTTAGCTTTCTGTCCAGCTGCATATGCTATTAGGAACACTTGTGCGTTTCTGCTACCTGCTGCATACAAATTTCCTGTGAAATGAGAGCAAATACAAATCTATCCCAATTTTCCTACTTAGAGAGGAATTTTGTTCTCTCTGCAGGAATTGAAGCCATCTTTACCTACATTTCAGATATTTCCGGAGAATGAAACTGCATGCAAATCAGCAGCTGTCCAGATGTTTTTACCTCTTGCTGACAAGATGATTGACCTTGTGTATTGCTCAGAAATTTGGAACTCAAGCTGTCTGGTATTTCCACAGAAGACAAGCAGAGAGTAAAACTCTGGCCTTCTGGCAAAATACTGTCTACATCCAGCCATGTAGTTATCATAACTGGGAGCTTGCCATCTCGTGTCCAGATGGTGAGCAAATAGTAAGCTGCTGCCTAAAGAGGAGGCTGGTTTCTCCTCTGGTCTGCTCAAAGGTACCTAGGTGAGGTGAAGACATGCATTATTTCACATCACTTATGACACTGTTGGAGATGTCTTCTCTGGAGACATATGGGTTATACTTGCAGAAACGGAACGATCAGGATGAAAAAATAGCCTTGAGACCATGGAACTGGTTTACTAAGATTATTTTAAGAGGATGTCCCAGTCAATATTTATGCCCGTAGTGAAATGGGCAATTATTTGGGTTTCTGCTGCATGTCCCAAAAGCTGAGAGACTTTAAACCTTGTGTTTTAATAGCACTAGAAATTGTAGTGCTTATACTAGGTACTGTGGTTTCTGAATGCAGCAGGTCGATTTGAAATTCTCATCCCTGTGGGATTATGCACTGTAATACAGGTGTATACATAAATATTTAATGGTGCAGGTTTTACTGTGGATATTTCTGTGCTGTTAACTGTAAATATATTGTAAAATACCTGTTCCTGAGTAGGTCTGTGGCCGTTGATCTGGGCCCAGGTAACTTTAAAATAATTTAGAGGTGTTTGTAAGGATTTCATGCCTGCATATTATTTACAAAAAAAAATGGAAGCTTGAGATTTGTATATATATATTGCAAGTATGATTTATGAAGTTGTTAAAGGACTTCAAATGAGAAAGTCTTTAAGTTATGTTTAAATTATAATCATAAATTAAAAATAGAACTTGATATTGTATTTTCCTATTTGTAACCGTATTTAATAAAATATTTTAAATGTAATGCTCCCTTTTTGGAAACGCACATCATTTAAATGATTTTGGTTGGCCCTTGCGGGTTTGGCTTCTGAAGCAGAATGCGAGGGCTTGGGGGAAGACTGGCTGAATAGCAAGTGTCCCCTAGTTTAGCTCTCCATGTTTTCGTAGCCGGCAAGGAAGGAGTAGCCAGCAGATGGCACTGACTGTCTGGGAGCCGGCACAGCCAGAGCTGGACCCCAAACCACCATCCCCAGTCCTGATGGGCAGGAGGAAAGCTCAGCGATGTGTCCCGTAGAGCTGGTGCCTGGAACAGCGGTGAGCTTCGCAAGAGGCATGCTCAGAAGGGAGAGGAGAGCAGGAAGAGAAACAAGTAGGTGATCTTAGTGCGTAGTTAGCGGTGCAATCCCCTCAGCCCATGTAGCCCTTTCTGCTGGGATGTTAGCTGACTGCTGGGAGACCGTGGGCCAACAGGCGAGAGCACAGCTCTGGGGATTAGTGGTGACTGCTCCCTCTGCTCCCACCCTGGCTTGGCTGTAGCTAAAGACTCTGCCATGGGCTAATGCTGGCCAGGTGCCAGCCATGTCCAGGCACTCCTGTGGCCATCCTTCCCCAGTGCCTGGTGTAGCCACAGAAGCTGTGCCGTGGCTCTCTATAGCTGCTGCCAGGAGCCAGCCCTTGATGACAAACCGTGAGATGCATT